CTCCTGCCAAGCAATGCTACTGGTTTTATTTAAGCTTACCTTTACACAATTACTGCGTGTTTTTCCGTGTCCTCACCACAGGATGGCTGCCCAGATCATGGGGAAGCCAGAAGCTACCATCTTGCCTGACCTCGAGTACACAGACATGCCATTTTCCCCATTCTCCTGGCTTAACAGAAAAGAAGTCCTTTAAAAGACAGGTCAATTATTTTATTATTTTACTTTATTTTAGTCCAATTTAGTTTCAATTACCTACCAGTGACACTTGGCAATCTCTTCCAAAGCTTCTTTTGCTACATGCCAGAAGAATGATTTGTTCACAAATCATTTGTTTTGTATTCTAGTTTGGGATATTTTGAAGCCTAACAAATGCTAATGCTACCAGTTATCTTTCCCTTGGTAAGATATTTAAATATAGCAGCATATTCCAGGACAAGAACTCAAGTAGAAGAATATTCAGTTCTCATACTATCAGGTTTGCTTACACCTTCCCCTGACTTTATTAAAAAAAAATAATGCTTCTGATGATCTATATGAGCATCCAGTGAGTTCTTAAACTTATCTTCCTGAATATTTTAAGCTATTTGCTTTTCCACAGTTTTACATTATGCAGTTATCTGTTAGAGGCGTTCCAATATGCCTTTATCTCTCTCAAAAGGGGACATCCTTCTCAAAATGGGATGCAAAAATGGCAAAAATTTCTTTGGATTATAGTGTTTTGGGTTTTTTTTTTAGTGATCTCTGTGTGTATGTATCTTCCCTGTTGATTTATGATGATGTGCTTTGGTGTGGTGCTAACACACAGAGATTGAAGGTGCTGCAGAATGACTGAGAAATCTTGCTAGATCACATAGCACCAGTGCTCCAGATATATTTGACAGTCTGTTGGTGTCTCAATTACATTTACTAGGTTTGCACTTGATACTTCAAGAGAAACCTTATTCTATTTTATAATGTGACACTTGTGGCCAAGAGGAGCCTTGAGTTTGCTTCCTCTCCAAGGAGTAGTTGCATGTGATTGATTTTTCATATTGGCCTTTGCAACTCTTCCATCTTTTTCTTCTTTTAAATACCAATCATTGTAAACTCTTCCAATTTTCCATGTTGAACATGGCATCCAACAGGTCAGTGAGGAAGAGGGGTTTTAAAGTCATTAGCCAGAAGAGCTTTTTTTAAGAATTAAAACAGTAGTCTTACAATGACTTGCATCTAAATCAATAAATAGTAACTGTATAAGTTTCATTTTCTAAATACCATGTGGGCACTTTCAGTACTTTGAGCAGAATTAGATTGATGTGATTTCTGTCAATGTGGATTGTGGATTTGGGGTAATTGCGTGTCTTTTATGTATCGCTTACTCTTATACTAAACAGTGGGTGCATGTGTTGTGTGCCCTCCACATTTGTCTCAGTGTAGTTCTCAGCACTGTTCATCTACAGTGACAGTTCTGATCTTGCTTTTGTACTTCGTTGCCAAAGAATTTCAGACATCATAGCATCTGACAGAATCCTCCATCATTTCCACAATTAATCCTCAGCAAGACAAGGGTAGCTCCTGTCCTTTAGATCTTACTTTTAGATTAGTCATGCTATTCACTTAAATATTTTTGGCAATGAAATATCCAGTGACTTGGGGCAGTTAGGGATGAAATAGTTTAGTGCCCCAAAAGACCTTTCTATGCTTAGACTTTATATACATACATATTTATTTTAATCAGGAATTTTAGTTAACTTATACAAGCTGTAGTGAACATATGCCCAAATTTTACAATACTGCATTACTTAAAAAAAAAAAAAAAAAGTCAGTCATGCCCGTGGTGGTGACAGTCTATCATGAGACGCTACTGCCTCCTGTCCAATGTCACAGGTGACAGAATCTGACCAAAGGCTTCACTTTGCTTCATGCAGGGCTTTTCTACTCTGAGTTTAAGCATACACAGGACAATGACATTGTGACCCGCCCACCTGTCCAAACTGACCTTTCTCAATTCACCCAAAACCTGGAAAGAAATAAATACCTTACAAGCAGCCTTACTAAGTGCTTAATGAGAAGATCCTTCAAAATTTTTACGTTTGCCAGGATTTTTTTTTTTTTCAATTTTAACAACATGTGTGAGTCTCTTTTCAGGAAACTCTTCCAAGTACATCACCACCTGGCAGAAAAACCCAGAGCTGCAGTTCACTGCTCTGCGGAGGGATGCCCCGTAGCTCGGTGCTCTCCCGCTCGGGAAAGGGACCAGCCGGCCGCCCC